TTAACATAAAAAAATATGTTTTGTAAAGCTCATTCTTTAGTGGTACTTTTTTGTCTCTTTAGTATTTTCCTTAAAGTTAATAGCTTCAGTGTAAAAAAATAAAATATCGTGCCATGTACCGATATGTGCCGCCATGTTTAGCTAAAATTATTCTAAAAGTTGGCTCTGAGAACTTGTAAGTTTCATTTACAGTGAATCCTCATAATCGTTGATGATTATTAATAATTTTTGGCTGTTATTAAGCAAGAGTATCATTTTTTTAATATTGTTTAAAACAATTTAATTTGTTCAAACAGATATTCATCTTATTTATGGTTTTTCTCCATAGCCTGCTATATAGAATTTTTTTTTTTTTTAATAATAGCAGTGCTTTACAGTACAATGTAGCATATTTTATTTATTTACGCTAAAACTATGATCTTTTAGAAAAAACTAAAGAGACAAAAAAGTACCAGTAATGAATAAGCTTTACAATCCATATTTTTTTATGTTAATGTTATAAAAAAATCAAAGGGGTTGTGAATTTCATTCCCTTAGAGGGCACTAGGAAAGTTGAAGGTATGGTTGAAAATAAGATATTAACCAGTAGTACATACACACAAAATTTCAAATTCTACGATTTACTCATACCCGAAATAAAAGATAAAATGTAAATTGTTAGCTCAACTTTGACAGCTCATAGCTCGAAAACAAAAGAGTTGCGACCCTATATTTATATAAAAAACTTGTGTTATTTTGGCAAGTACTTCGTCCTAGTAAAGTTTCTCGATTAAAAACTGAACCACCCTGTATATACATATATTATACAGGTGTTTACGGTGTTGTGATTTGGTTTAACATAAATTTTCCGAATAATTCCTAATAAGGAAAGCAAAACTGGTTCATCGCACCAAGAGTGAATATGCATGTTGTTGATTTATGGGGAAGTACGCCAGAATTCTGCTGTTGCAAGCCGATTGTATGCTGAGAAGTTTTCTAACAGGCCGATACGTATCCACAAAAATTAACCGCTTTGGTAATTCGTGCACAAGAAATTAGTATACTATAAACACGGCAAGGTCGGGATGGTGGGCTTGGCCGATACGAACTTTAAATCTTGTCGAAGAAGATTCTAGATGTACTCTATTTCGCCAATTAAATGTTTCAAATTGGATTGTCTGGCGAACACTGTGCGAAAATCAATTGTATACTTCCATATACAAAAAGTACAGACTTTACAACCTGAATCCGTTACATTTACAATTTTGCCAATAGTTTCTACAAAACACGCTGAAATTCCAAACTATTCTTCACTTGTAATGTATAGTATAATACTCATATCTGGGCTGTCGAAAATTTTCATTGTATCATTTATTTGTTCTTCTGTTTGTTGTTTTTGGTAAACTAAAAGATTATTTATCAACCAAAGTTAATTGTAAAAATAAATTAAACGAAAAACTGTCAAAATATCATGGCCTAATAAAAATATAACCGGTTTCCTGCATTTCCCGACAAATTCTCTTTCTGGCGAGCCAATTAAATATGGGGCGTATTTATTATTTTCGACTTTCTTGCCATTGAATGCGGAAAAAAGGTAATTCACATTTTGACCACCCTGTAGAAGATACTGTGATATAGCAAATTACAATCCACATTCGTCGTAATCATTTTCAGCACAGACTTTTGATAAACGTTTGGGCCGGACTCAATGGACAACTTATTGGTACCTTTGTGTTGCCAAATCGATTGACTGGAAATGAGTATGTTTTTTTTGTAAAATAACTTGACATAACTATTGGAAGAAGCAGCTGTGGAGACAATACGAAGGAAAAACCAAGGCCTAGTAAATTATGCCAATTCATGTATACGTCGAGCAACTCATGCATTCAACAACACGGAGATAACTTTGAACAATTAGTGTAGAGTGGATTCATCGTTTCAGTTAATAGCTTTGTTTGGTATCTTACACCAATGCACACTTTTTCTTAAAAATAGTGTTTGGTAGACTGGTGCAAACAAGTGTAGATAGTGCCGCCGCGTTTGGTAAGCTATTGAGTTTTAAAAGTGCAGACACTTTTCACACCGACTCGCCGGCAAGTGTAGTGTAAGTCGACATAACCTTTAAGACGTATTTAGTTTTTTGAAAGTGTCAAAGTTAGATTTATTTAAACAAAAATAAAACATTGTAATTCTGTTACTTCAAAACGACTGGATAAACTTTCAAACAACTCCCTAGATATTCTAAAATGCTTTTTAAACTGTAAATCAGAATATTTGGGAACTACATCCTCAAAGTATTTATCGATGCAAGTTCTTTTATCTTTTTCTACTTTTTCTTCATCATCGCTGTCCAATTCTTCAAAAATCATATCATTGTCTTCACTTTCGGTGTCAGACTCTAATAGGGTCACTACAGGCAACATTTCCTTTTTTGATTTATTCATCTTGATTTTTTGATCAATAATAAATTATTCAACTTCCTACAGAAATAATAAAGATTACATAACCTATAACTGTCATAATAATCCGTTTTACCAAACACCTAAAATTGTTACACTTATGCACTTTGAAAATGTGTTGAAAACTGAGAGTTGTCAACTGCACTACACTTGCTACACTAGGAGTATTTATAGCAAGTGTACCAAACACAGCTATTATGATTAAAAATAAAAACTACAAAATTTATTTTTAACAGTAATATCTCTGTTATTATGCAACTTTTGTTAAAACATTATTACCTTCTCTTGAGATGTTTAAGCACCTCTTGAAAATAAAATCACAAGATCATAAACACCCTGTATATATTTTTTTAATTTTTCTCTGGTGGAGACTTAATTTGCAAAGTACTAAATTAGATGGTTCAGAACTTTTGCTTACAACTCTTTTACTTTCGAAGATATCTTATGTAACCAACCCTGATCTCTTACCGTTTCAAGTTTCCCATATAATGCTAATTTTTTGTGTCCATAATCCATTAATCATAACCCTATAAGTATATCAATACTAATATTTGTGTTTATTTCTATAAGACTTATAAGAATTTCACTTGTATATTAANCAACCTGAATCCGTTACATTTACAATTTTGCCAATAGTTTCTACAAAACACGCTGAAATTCCAAACTATTCTTCACTTGTAATGTATAGTATAATACTCATATCTGGGCTGTCGAAAATTTTCATTGTATCATTTATTTGTTCTTCTGTTTGTTATTTTTGGTAAATAAAAGATAGTAAACTAAAAGATTATTTATCAACCAAAAATTAATTAAACGAAAAACTGTCAAAATATCATGGCCTAATAAAAATATAACCGGTTTCCGGCATTTCCCGACAAATTCTCTTTCTGGCGAGCCAATTAAATATGGAATTAAACAAATTTTGCACTTAAAGGTGAAATGTGTTTATTATCACTCTACCGGTTTCGCTCTTTTCGGAGCATCTTCAGGATTTCCTAAAGTTATTAATTTTACAACACTTTCTATTATTATATAATTTTACATTTTAACTTACGTCAATTTTTTGAACAACTAAACATGTATGTGATACTTTATTGAATTAATTCACTATTAAAATGTTAATCTCTAAACATGTGCTATTGTACATCACTTTTTATTATATTTTAGGTTATGTTGAAACTGTCAATGGTATATTTTCTATTTTAATGTTGGTAATCTGTCAAAAGTGATTGTCGTGTATTGAATTTAAACTTTCTTGTTTTGAATAGGTTGATTTTCAACAGGTTAAAATGAAGTATTACAACATAAACATATTAACTCCCTACATCAAATACACTGAAAAATATAATGGTACAGAGAGAGCAGCTATTTTTAGAGTTCGTCACACTTTCTTGCCATTGAATGCGGAAAAAAGGTAATTCACATTTTGACCACCCTGTAGAAGATACTGTGATATAGCAAATTACAATCCACATCCGTCGTTGCCATTTTCAGCACAGACTTTCGATAAACGTTTGGGCCGGACTCAATGGACAACTTATTGGCACCTTTGTGTTGCCAAATCGATCGACTGGAAATGATTATGTTTTTTTGTAAAATAACTTGACATAAATAACTATTGGAAGAAGCAGCTGTGGAAACAATACGAAGGAAAAACCAAGGCCTAGTAAATTATGCCAATTCATGTATACGTCGAGCAACTCATGCATTCAACAACACGGAGATAACTTTGAACAATNCTTATGAAACCAACTCTGATATCTTACCGTTTCAAGTTCCCCATATAATGCTAATTTTTTATGTCCATAATCCATTAATCATAACCCTATAAGTATATCAATACTAATATTTGTGTTTATTTCTATAAGACTTATAAGAATTTCACTTGTATATTAATAAATATCATATTTGTGCGATACTTGATAAATTGTTTTTATCATAAAGATTTTTTTGATGAATCTGTTACAAGCATAATGTAGGTTAGTGGTTCGGTGTAAAGCAGAAAAGCGTTTCTTTTGTCCTTCGCAGGTGTAAATATCAACGACGTCGCTCGTCCTCCCTTCATCTCCACCACCCTACATCGTTCTCTTTTTCCGTAAGTACAAACTTTCGGATCCGGTCACAGGGAAAAACGCGCACTACCACCACTAAAACGAAACATTTGTTAGAGAACGTCCCGTCCAAGTGCCGATAGCGAGGGACCGGATGAGCGCAGGGACACCTATACAGCGAAGCCCGAGAGGGAAGAAAAGGATGACCTGCTACCGAAACCGAGTACCGTGCAAAGGACGCAGGATAACAGCTTGGCTACACAGACATAAAACCGTTCGAATCGTGCGGCACAAAAAAAACCGTTAGGGGGGTAGCAGATGTGGAAGCGAAAGAACGTTACCACGAAATGGTAAAGATGAACGAGGATAGATACGGAAAGGTAAAGTTAGGGGTGGTTCTCTGAAGCCAGGGGTGTGTCCTAATATTCACCGCCCTCCTGATAACACTTCGATGTAAACATTTACCGCTACCAGTTGTCGTTGGTTGCCGGACAAGCCGTGTTTATCTGTTATATTTATTAACCTTTTTTGAGTGGTGCTGTTTTAAGATCACGATATGTCTTTTAAATAACATCTCGCAAGGATCATAAATTCAAAATAACCAATTAAATCTTAAAATAACAAAAGAATAAAAAAACTGTGATTCGCGAAATAAAAAATTACAATGAGTACATCTTCTTCCGATCTTAGAGACATCGAGGTGAACGTAGTTTCTAGTCCCGAATCGACCAGTAGAAATAATTCTCCGGAACCAGACGGGAATTATCAAAGACTGTTGAATCATCACATTCCGGGCGCGAACATCACGTGTTTTCCGGTGATCAAAACTTCAGAGGAAAAATGCGAAAAGGATAAAGATTCTTCAGCTGTTGCTACCACGCAGAAGAGTTCTGGCGGATCAACTAACTTCTCTATATCGAGTATATTAAGCAGAAATGAACCGACGGCTAAAAAAAACATCTTTGGACAACAAAATCCTTTGGAAGCAGCGATTAATTCTAATAATGATAGTGCAATGTTATCAAGGTAATTTTTTTTTTAATAAATAATCCTTCAAATTTCCTTAAGGCGATTCAATGTCTTCTGAATCAAGCTAAGGAGTTATTATCTTCTTATCCTTCCTTACTCTTTACGCCGTCTTAACTTGATGGATAAACGAGATGGGATTTCTTGCCTCGGGGAACAAATAAACCCGATTTCGTGTGCATTTTTCCTTCCTTCGGGATTCTTCAACTCTTTACGGTTGTTTACAGTTTTATAAATTCTTTTTTTAAACACAAAAATTCGATTTGTTTTATTTAATGTATAAAATAAAACAATATAATTTATTATCGCTATAATTTACGATTCAATTTAGGTAATATACAATTTCGATCGTTATTTATTTTAAATTACACAAACCTGTATGTGCGTCAGTTTGTTTAAAGTCCAAATTAATTAAACGAAACGGTTTAGCGGTTTGCGTTGATTTGAATTAGCTCGATATCAAATTTCTTTAAAATAAATATTAATGAGATTTTTAATCATTAATTTTGTATGATAATTAAAGTTATTGTAATTTAATAAATAATTAATTAATGCATTTGCATCATAAGGTTAGATATGAGCAGATTTTTCTTGGCCATTATCACCGTTTAATATAAAACTGGAACTAACACTAGCTTTAGAACTAACACTAGATCTAGAACTAGATACATTCAAGTTTAGCCGTCTTGAGAGATGTTCGGCTAATCCCGAATGTTTATAGTTGTAGCTTTAGTGTTAGTTCTACTTTTGGTTCAATAAAATTATACAATAATCTAGAGCTGAATAACAGTTAAAACTACAAACATAGTAATATCTTATACTAATTAGCACTACCTACCATTACCACTAGAACTAACACTAGACCGAGAACTAGAAACATTCGGATTTAGCCGCACGTCTCTTAAGACGGCTAAACCCGAATGATTCTAGTTCTAGGTCTTGTGTTAGTTCTAGTGCTGGTGCTAGAATAAAAGTAGAACTAACACTAGACCAAGAACTAGAAACATTCGGATTTAGCCGCACGTCTCTTAAGACGGCTAAACCCGAATAATTCTAGTTTTAGGTCTTGTGTTAGTTGTAGTGATAATGGTAGTGTAAACCTAGAACTAACACTAGACCTAGAACTAGAAAGTATCGTCCTCAGACGCACGGCTAAACCCAAATCTTTCTACTTCTAGGTCTAGTGTTAGTTCCACTTTTAGTTTAATAGAAACGTATAACAACCTAGTGCTGAATAATAACTGAATAAAACTAGAACTAACACTGGCACTATAACTAACACTAAATCTAGAACTAGATACATTCAAGCTTAGCCGTCTTGAGATATGTTCAGCTAAACCCGAATGTTTATAGTTGTAGCTTTAGTGTTAGTTCTACTTTTGGTTCAATAAAATTATACAACAATTTAGAGCTGAATAACAGTTAAAAGTACAAACATACTAATATCTTATGCTAACTAGCGCTACCTACCACTACCACTAGAACTAACACTAGACCGAGAACTAGAAACATTCGGATTTAGCCGCACGTCTCTCAAGACGGCTAAACCCGAATGATTCTAGTTCTAGGTCTTGTGTTAGTCTTAGTGATAGTGCTAGAGTAAAACTAGAACTAACACTAGACCAAGAACTAGAAACATTCGGATTTAGCCGCACGTCTCTCAAGACGGCTAAACCCGAATGATTCTAGTTTTAGGTCTTGTGTTAGTCTTAGTGATAGTGCTAGAGTAAAATTAGAACTAACACTAGACCAAGAACTAGAAACATTCGGATTTAGCCGCACGTCTCTCAGGACGGCTAAACCCGAATGATTCTAGTTCTAAGTCTTGTGTTAGTTCTAGTAATAGTACTAGTGTAAAACTAGAACTAACACTAGACCTAGATCAAAAAACTTTCTGGTTTAGCTATGCGTCTATCAAGACGACTAAACCCGAATGTTTCTAGTTCTGTCTTTCTAGTGACTAAAATAGTGATTAACTGTTTAGCAGCTTCCGCAGCCACCATAAATTTGATCATAAGGTGTTAAGGTGTGAAACTTCTTCCATACTGCCTAGAAGATTTAAATCTGCTAGAATTTCTGTAAATTTTATCTTTTTGATTTTCTTGTAGGTGTTTCAATTTCAGTTTATTTATAAGTATTATTTATTTACACCTATATACAATAAAACATGTTTGGTGACAAATTGGCCCATCACTTTGTCATTTATTTTAAAAGATGCAAATGGTTTAAAAAGAAATTTTTAATTATTTTTTTTATTTTAAAGGAAATTTACTTAATTTAGACCTTTTAACTTTTTCATTTAAGTCATTAAAGGTGTATTAAATCACGGTTAAAAATTAAAGAGGCATCTCGATCGATACAAGGAGTTTTGGGGGAACGTTGGGTTGGGTTCCCTGCGGCAATCCCCGAACTAAGTCTATCTCGCATTAAATTTGCATCAAGTTAAGTGTTCTTCGAGAAGCGGGCGGTCCTCAAAGATTTCCCGAAGGAGGTAGAGGCGCGCGCGTTTCTCTGCGGGGTAGGCGGTGGCATACTTCCTCCAGAATTCCCTAAGAAGCTTACCCTGTGTGTTTAAGTGCCTCAATATCGCGACATGATCGATAAACAACTCCCAGTATATACGCTTTGGAGAAAAGAGACTTTCTCGATGGAATTTATCTTAAAACAAAAATTTATCCAAAAATAGAATTTATTTTTTGTTAAACCGAACGTAAAAAGGTTTTGATTTATGTGTGAAAGCACAAATTAGTGAAATTGCATTTTTTGCACGATCTCTATATCGAAATGTTCTTTATTTGAGAGAGTCCATTCACTATGCATTTACTACTTGATTGCGTAGGATTTGACGAGTCTATTCATTGATTTTGGTTGCTCTCACAAACTGCGTTTGTGTTGCAGATTGGGCCTGATGTCGCATTTCGGAGCTTTGGCAGCAGCTAGTAGCCGATATGCAGCACTTTGTGGTCCGACCGATCCCAGGAATATCCCTTGGTATTGGGGAAGATTACAACCGCAAATCACGCCAGAGAAGACCAGCTCTAACGGTAATTATTATTCAAAATCAAACAATGTAAATCGATGTTAATTGATAATCTTTTTAAAGAAATTGTATTAAAGACACGACTCGTTTTACTAATTAATTTTACTCCGCCTAGTTTCCGTTTTATTTCGAACGATCTCGCTACAAGTTTAGCTTTAATGATCGCCGGTTCCATAATACATGAAACTTCCGTAACGTTCCTTCGATTTTCCACCTTAAATTTCTACTCTTCTTACGTCGCAGACCGTTTCGATCCGGCAAATAATTAATTAAATCATGAGGGATTATCGAGGGAACTACGCTTGAACATTTAATTTGAAACTTAGCAGATCGTTAACGTACTCCTATAAATAACTTACTGTACGAGAATACTCCTACTTACATTATAAATTTTAAATTGAATAAATCATTAAGTAATAACTAATAACACTTAGATATCAAAATTATTTTTTCTTCATAAAGAAAACAATTTGAATGATTACTACTGCAATGAAACAAGTATTAGTTGTGGACATAATGGTTTATTGGAACTAAATACTGTATACAGTGTCCAACAAAAGTATTAATGTATTTATTGTATATGGGATATTGGGACCATTGCTTAATTGGACTGCTACTTCACTCAAAAAACCAAACAGTTTGAACTTTCAACTATTAATTTTGACATATTTGTAATCGTCGTGAAAAATCCTTTAAAATGAGTCCAAACTCGACATATTTAACTTTCATATTAATGGAGATACAATCACTTCCGGTTTGAAACGTCAACGTCAATTTTGACATATTTGTCATCTTCATTAAAAACCCTTTAAAATGAGTCCAAAGAGGACGTACTTATCTCAAAAAACAAAAAAGTTAGAATAAAAAGCATTAAACCCGAAGTTAGCAACAATGAAGATAGCAATTTAATTTTTAAATATTAATACCAACCTTAATTTTTGATTTTTTTTTTTTACTTTTTTGTTTTTGTGACAAATATTAAGACATTTTATAAAAATTAAGAATATGTCAAAATGACATTGACATTTCAAACCGGAAGTTGCTTATATCTCGAGTAATATTGGAATTAAACGTATCATGTTTGGACTCATTTTAAAGGATTTTTCACGACGATTACAAATATGTCAAAATTGACGTTGACATTCTTAACCGGAAGTTGACCATAACTTCATTAATATTGAAGATAAATATGTCGTGTTTGTACTCATTTTAAAGGATTTTTAATGAAGATTACAAATATGTCAAAATTGAGGTTGACATTTTAAATTTGAAGTTAGTTATCATGTAATAGAAGTTTTATAACTGAAGTTAATATAGTGTTAGTCACTTTTCAGCACTTTCTTTTTATTTTTAACGTGTTTTTTGGGTCATTAAAAAAAATCGTCGATTTTTAAGCCACATGATGATTCTGAAATTTACTCAAGTTTCTTAATATTTCTTTTGATAAAAAAGAGCGTTCTTAATGTAAAAATTAACATGTAAATGTAACACTTCGTCATTAATTTCATTTTACAACTTTTTAAACTTTAATTTAGTAAATTAGTAACTAATAATCTGATTTTGACTTTGATATGTGATCTTTTTTAACAAAAGAAATGATGAATGAATAGGTTGAGGGATGTTAATCTATTTGTAGCGTCTCTAAAAGTGACCAAGGCCCGAAACTATATAAACGAAGTTTGAAGTATAAGATTTAAAGGATTTATTATTTTCATTAAGAAATCTATGACATTATTACCTGCACTAATTCATTTTCGTGTACTTTTGAAGCTTTAATAAATTTCTTTTTACTTTTCTTAGCAGTTATAATCGCGAGAAACTTATTCCACATACTTCAACGATGTTACCTTACACAATAAAGCTTAATACCAAACTGACGTAAATGCATGATGTGTTTCCACGATTTTATAATATTTACAAACCAAAAAACCTCGAATGCATAATGATAAGAAAGATTATCACGATGTACGTCAACTTTAATTTTATTATTATATTCGCAATCTTCATAAAATAACCTTTAAAGTGAGTCCAAACATGACGCATTTATTCAAATGCAAAATTCATTTATCTCAAAAATCAAAAAGTTCGATCTTTCAACTATTAATTTTGACATATTTGTCAACTTTATAAAAATTCCTTTAAAATGAGTCCAAACTCGACATATTTAACTTTAATATTAATGGAAATACAATCACTTCCGGTTTGAAACGTCAACGTCAATTTTGACATATTTGTCATCTTCATTAAAAAACCTTTAAAATGAGTCCAAAGATGACGCACTTATCTCAAAAAACAAAAAAGTTTGAATAAAAAACATTAAACCCGAAGTTAGCAACAATGAAGATAGCAATTTAATTTTTAAATATTAATACCAACCTTAATTTTTTATTTTTTTTTTTTATATTATTTTTTTGTGACAGACATTAAGACATTTTATAAAAATTAAGAATATGTCAAAATGACATTGACATTTCAAACCGGAAGTTGCTTATATCTCGAGTAATATTGGAATTAAACGTATCATGTTTGGACTCATTTTAAAGGATTTTTCACGACGATTACAAATATGTCAAAATTGACGTTGACATTCTTAACCGGAAGTTGACCATAACTTCATTAATATTGAAGATAAATATGTCGTGTTTGTACTCATTTTAAAGGATTTTTAATGAAGATTACAAATATGTCAAAATTGAGGTTGACATTTTAAATTTGAAGTTAGTTATCATATAATAGAAGTTTTATAACTGAAGTTAATCTAGTGTTAGTCACTTTTCAGCACTTTCTTTTTATTTTTAACGTGTTTTTTGGGTCATTAAAAAAAAATCGTCGATTTTTAAGCCACATGATGATTCTTAAACTTTCTCAAGTTTCTTAATATTTCTTTTGTTAAAAAAGAGCGTTCTTAATGTAAAAATTAACATGTAAATGTAACACTTCTTCATTAATTTCATTTTACAACTTTTTAAACTTTAATTTAGTAAATTAGTAACATAATAATCTGATTTTGACTTTGATATATGATCCTTTTTAACAAAAGAAATGATGAATGGATAAGATGAGGGATGTTAATGTACTTGTAGAGTCTCTGAAGGTGACCAAGGGCCGAAACTAGTTAGACTTAAATTCTATATAAAATAAAGACCAGTTGCAAAGTACAAAATCAAACTCTGGATAATTTTCTTCAAAAATTTTAACACGAAACATCATTTTAACTCTAGTGTTTGTGATTAAATTTATGCCACGACTTACAGAAACATCTGTATAATCGTAAAACGACTGACCAAGCGGATTCTGTGCTTGTGATGGCTGTTATCAGTGTTCTGTGATAAACATAGATAGGCACCAAACAATTTTCAATAGTTTGAGCTTGTGTTTATTTGTCGCTTAGTCAAGTGATGCATAACGCGGTCCAATTAGTCTACAACTTTACCTGATAAAGTTGAAAGAATTACCAATTTCAGATTGATGTAATGTTAATCACTGAACCTCAGCCGCAAGCGATCTCGGTCTAATTACAATTTTACTGAGTAAAGGCAGCCTCGAATTGAGGCCGAGGCGCCACAATATGATAATCAATTTGAGGTTGATATAATTTTAATGATTGAGCCTCGACCGCAACTACTTGGTAATGATTAAGTCACATTTGCAGAAAATAATGAAATTGTTACAACAACAGTAACATTATATAAATACATCGATTTATTTGTAGCAACAAGTTTTCCTTTTTTTTTTCTTAAAGAAATGCGATGTTTTAAGACAGGATGAAAAAAGCGGAATGGTTTATTGTAAATAGAAATCGATTTTGGATTGCCAGGAATCGGAGAAGGTCTTAACTTTTCTTTCACGACAGCCGATGACTTATAAATAGAGATTTCAGAGGTGATTTGGTGGCCGCTTAAAAATTTTACGGGTTTCGCGAAAGCAAATCCTTGTATACAGGGTGTCCCGTTAAGCGTACGGAGCGGCTGTATCTCAATAACAGTAAGGCCTAGAGGTTTGGGAAAAAAATCCTTATAAGCAAAGTGGGCAAGAGAAATCGCTGGAAATTATTTTGAAGTTCGTAATTCGACCGCTAGGGGGCGTAATTGCCATAGAGAAACATAAAATTCCCGCTATCTCAGAAAGTTAGACGATGAGCTATAACGTTGACAACATCATTTAGTAGCTTGGATAATACCGCATCGCTTTTGTTTTGCGATATTTCTCATATCTCTCATAATAAGGGAGGGGGAGGCCAATGCGTTTTCAAATGTTTATATTTTAATATCTCCTGGACCATTCAACCGATTTGAATATTTTTGGTCTTGTTTGAAAGAGCATTTCATGCTCTTTTAAACGATATTTTCAGTAAGCCCGCTTGGTTTAAAACAAATAAGCTAGAGGGCGTTATCTGCAGCGGTTACATATTTTTGTGATTTTTGAAAAAAAGTTAAATGGAACGGTACTATTTACTTCACAGACCGTTAATCACCATAAAATTTGCTAAATATTAGTGAAAACCGCATCTCGATATCTCCATCCATTCTCGAATTATAAAAGAAAATGTTAAAAATTCGTATATCTTAATCGGATCAAGTTACCTTAGGAAACAAATAAGAGAGAACAAAAATTTTATTATCTAGAACCTTCCTTTACACTTTATCCAAACTTAGAACTGCTTCAAAACTACTTTTGAGGCGTGTTGAAAAGCCAACGGATCAATGAAACATCAACAATGATAATAAAACAAAATAAACCAAAACACTTAGAATAACTTAAATTTTTGGCAAAAATAACTCACTAATGTGCGAAATGCCTTCCATAAACCTCGATGCATTTATTTAATCTAGTTTCGACGAAAAGAAAGCGCTGCTTAAGTCTCGGCCCTGGACACGTTTCTACTGGTATTTAGTGTTTTGTCATATTTTCCGTGGTTATTGGTTTTTCTTGAAAAGTCAGGTCGTTTAGTCTACCCAATAGATAAAGGGGTGAAAGCAATGTGGGTTTTGCTCGAACCAAGAATGCATATTATGCAAGTTTACATCAGCTTGTGGACAGATGCTTCATGCATCCATAGCATTTGTGATAAAAGGTTTGGATTTGCCCAAATCATATTTAAAAGTCAATGGTAATAGTTCAGTCTGTTATCATAATCGGTATCTGTTAAGGCCTGATGTAAAACAACGTGGTGGAGATATTATTCTCTTGAGAACTCTTGTGGACAATTGTTTTCGGAGTTCCCAGATTATGTGGGATCACATTGCACACCAATGTGATTTACGAATTCATAGAGATGTCTAAATGGGCTACACGTTGCCAGTTTTCCGTAATCGCTAAGTCAATCTTAAAAACACTTCTAGAGAAAAATGTCTTTCTTTGTCGTAATTGCATTGCACATTTTTGCCATGCAGTTGCATCGTATTCGAAACATTGAAAATAAATCATCATACGCTCTATCATACGCTTCTGCGTTAGTAAATGACATGTTTACAGTTACCATGGTTATGTGATTTGTTTTTCTCGATGAGGTAACTGGATCCGATTGATGGCACTCGAGTTTTTAACATTTTCTTCTATAACTCGAGAACGGGTGACGATATCGAGATGGGGTTTTCACTAAAATTTAGCAAATTTTAAGGTGACTAAGAGTCTGTGAAGTAAATAGTGTCGTTCCATTTAACTTTTCTTCAAAAATCATAAAAATATGTAATCGCTGCAGATAACGTCCTCTAGCTCATTTGTTTTAAAGCAGACGGTCTTACTGAAAATATCTTTAAAAAGAGCATAAAATTCTCTTTCAAACAACACCGAAAATATTCAAATCGGTTGAATGGTCTAGGAGATATTAAAATGTAAACATGTGAAAACGCATTGGCCTCCCCCTCCCTTCTTATGACAGATATGAGAAATATCGCAAAACAAAAGCGATGCGGTATTATCCAAGCTATTAAATGATGTTGTCAAAGTTATAGCTCATCGTTTAAGTTTCTGAGATAGCGGGAACTTTATGTTTTTCTCAATGGCAGTTACGCCCCCCAGCGGTCGAATTACGAACTTCAAAATAATTTCCAGCTATTTCTCTTGGTCACTTTGCTTATAAGGATTTTTTCCCAAACCTCTAGGTCTTACCGTTCTAGAGATACAGCCGCTCCGCTCCGTACGCTTAACGGGACACCCTGTATACTTTAACGTTTTAAAAAATAATTTATTTCAAAACTTTAATTTTAAATCGAAACAATTTTTTTTTATTACAAAAATTGATTGTGTCTCACACGGTTAAAATAGGAAACATAAAATACAAGTGTAAGTGCAAACGAGATTATGGTTTGACCCAAATAAGCAATTTTTAAACCTTTTGCGTGGTGTAACTGAGTAAAAAAATAAAAATCACATGCAACATAAACGCGATCAAGTTTAAACGTTGTCGTAGTCGTATCCTAAGCACGATTATCGGTGTTCATATCGACAGTCACTGGTGCGGTTTCTGCGAAGCCTTAGTGTTCAAGTTGCCCTCTAATTGTGCGAAGCACCACCGTGACGGATGTAGCACTCTGTGTCGGTTTACCTGAATAAGACAACGCCAATCGTGCCAACAATAAAACACAACTCTACTGACATAATCCTCAACGCGATCAATTCTATTCAAATAACTTATCTGATTGAAGTTAAACAAAATTTTCTTAGTTTTGAGGGCGTTGTATTTTGATTCCGGTAATTAATCTGCCAAAAAAAACACCTAAACATCTGCCCGGATACGTATTGTACTTCGAGCCGACAAGGAACCATAAATTTATATAGTACAACCGCATTGTTCCATAAATTTTATAGCTCTTGCATATTTAAGTGTGGGTAATCAGTCTATTTATATTCTAATTAAGACTTTTAACAGTTTACTGCTTTATGTTGTTAATATTTTAATAATAAAAGACAGATGGCGATGATGTACAAAAAATTGAAATGAAAAAGTAAAATAGTTTATTAAAAAATTTCATTGAATATTTAAGTTTTTAAGCCGTTCTACAAAAATAATCCCAAAAAGGTTTTAATATTCACCAGCTTTTTAAATGTTTAATTTATTTGTTTTTTTTTAATTTAAATTTTCAGGGGATTCAATAAATGGAGATCAATCACCCCCTCCTTCTCCACGAGAAACTCAAAGCGGCATACAGTCAGAAAACACAAGAATATCACGGCCTTCATCGCCATCAGAAGGTCAAAGATCGCCAACGAGTAGTCCAAATCCGCACGGCATGATCCATTCAACTCATCCGGCGTTTTTAGATCAGAATTATATGAATATGGCGCGATCTAAAAGTCCTTTTAGAGACGGTGATAATATGGTGATAGACGAAGAGGTTGAAGAGGAAGAAAGTGATTACGATAACGATAAAGATAAAAAATCACAAAACGCCAATTTGAGTCCTGGCGGTTCGCTGGCTAACAAACGAAAAAAGAAAACGCGAACAGTATTTTCAAGATCTCAAGTTTTCCAATTAGAATCGACGTTCGATATGAAAAGGTACCTATCGAGTTCGGAACGAGCCGGATTAGCCGCAAGTTTACATTTAACGGAAACTCAAGTGAAAATATGGTTTCAAAATCGAAGAAACAAATGGAAACGGCAATTAGCAGCAGAATTGGAAGCTGCTAATATGGCACACGCGGCACAGAGGCTTGTTAGAGTGCCGATTCTTTATCATGAATCTGCTAACGCATCGGCTATTAGACATCCCTTCGAACAGAATCACAGTTTAAGTTTACACCATCCTTTAGATGCTGGCCGTGAAGGACCTACCTCAACAACTAGTCCCGTTGTAACATCACCCGGTTACCCAAGTTCTTTGTATTATCATCACCAAGCAGCGGTAGCGGCAGCCGTTCACAATTTACCATCAAGTCCAGTGAATAGGCCACCAATGTCTGGTTTAGTTTGAAATATACAAGACAATGATAACGTGATATATACGTTTGATCCGGTCAGTGTGTAAGAGATGTGCAAATAACTAAGATAATAAAAAAAATAGAAATTGCTTTGTATATAATTACATATTATTACTATTGTATTTATTGATTGTTGTAATTTATTTTTGTTTCTTTCAACTGTATATGGAGGGACTGTATCGTGCAAAACGATGATGGTGTATATAATATAAATAATTAGTGTATCAGATATAATTCCAACTGGAAAGATTTATATAAGCTACTAATCACAGTTACCAAAGGCACTCTATGTCATCGACGATATCCATACCAAAAAAAAAATAAATAAATAAAAAAGCGAATAGTTAATCTATTATTACTGTGTATAATTGTGTAGTAAAAATGGTTGTTACTGTGAATAAACGGATTTAAACATAAGGAATTGTCTTATTTATAGAGTTATGTTGAAGATTGTTTCAGCACATTTTGATGGATCAACTCAACGATTTTTTGTTGTGTGGCCGAAATCTTCATAAGGTTTGTTGAAATTTAATTTTTTAATTTGTTAATACTAAGGAAATAATTTATTTAGGAATAAAGGAATATATTTGAATTCTTCAAAGATTACTGTACAAAAAATCTAAATAAATCTCATTTCTAATTTTAAAAATTTTTACAAAATTTGGTGTGAATCAAAATATCTTGTATATCTCAAAAATGTATTTTCTTCCAATTTGGTTATGAGTCCTTTTTTATGTAGAAAACTTGAAAGAATTCAAAATTATACTCGAAATTAAAATCCGTTCATTGGCGTAGTAAAATAACAAAAATTAAGGAAAATGAATAAGGAAATTGAAAACTGTTTATATGAGCTTCCATAACTTCTACGTCACTGGATCGATTTTTATTTTGAATATAAATTTGGATTGTTTAAAGATTTTCGTACAAAAAATCCAAATAAATTGAATCTCTATTTTTAAAATTTTCTTTATTAAATTTTACTTTAAATTTTGTGGCGATATTTTTTGCTGGGAACCAAAAAATCTCATTTTTCTCAAAAATGCTTTATTTTTCAATTCGGTTATAAGAGTGCTTTTTTATGTAAAAAGTTCGGAGGAATTCAAAATTATACTCGAAATTAAAATCCGTTCATTGGCGTAGAAGATACAGGCTAAAATAACAAAAATTATGGAAAATTAATAAGGAAATTAAAAAGTGTTTATATGAGCCCTCGTAACTTCTACGTCACTGGAACAATTTTTATTTTGAATATAAATTTGGATTCTTTAAAGATTTTTGTACAAAAAATCCAAATAAATTGAATCTCTAATTTTAAAATTTTCTTTATTAAATTTTACTTTAAATTTTGTGGCGATATTTTTTGCTGGGAACCAAAAAATCTCATTTTTCTCAAAAATGCTTTATTTTTCAATTCGGTTATAAGAGTGCTTTTTTATGTAAAAAACTCGGAGGAATTCAAAATTAAACTCGAAATTAAAATCCGTTCATTGGCGTAGAAGATACAGGCTAAAATAACAAAAATTATGGAAAATTAATAAAGAAATTAAAAAGTGTTTATATGAGCCCTCGTAACTTCTACGTCACTGGAACAATTTTTATTTTGAATATAAATTTGGATTCTTTAAAGATTTTTGTACAAAAAATCCAAATAAATTGAATCTCTAATTTTAAAATTTTTTTTATTAAATTTTACTTTAAATTTTGTGGCGATATTTTTTGCTGGGAACCAAAAAATCTCATTTTTCTCAAAAATGCTTTATTTTTCAATTCGGTTATAAGAGTGCTTTTTTATGTAAAAAACTCGGAGGAATTCAAAATTAAACTCGAAATTAAAATCCGTTCATTGGCGTAGAAGATACAGGCTAAAATAACAAAAATTATGGAAAATTAATAAAGAAATTAAAAAGTGTTTATATGAGCCCTCGTAACTTCTACGTCACTGGAACAATTTTTATTTTGCATATAAATTTGGATTCTTTAAAGATTTTTGTACAAAAAATCCAAATAAATTGAATCTCTAATTTTAAAATTTTCTTTATTAAATTTTGTGGCGATATTTTTTGCTGGGAGCCAAAAAGTCTCGTTTTTTTCAAAAATGCTTCATTTTCCAATTCCGTTATAGGAGTGCTTTTTTATGTAAAAAGTTCGGAGGAATTCAAAATTAATCTCGAAATTAAAATCCGTTCATTGGCGTAGAAGATACAGGCTAAAAATAACAAAAATTATGGAAAATTAATAAGGAAATTAAAAAGTGTTTATATCAGCCCTCGTAACTTCTACGTCACTGGAACAATTTTTATTTTGAATATAAATTTGGATTCTTTAAAGATTTTTGTACAAAAAATCCAAATAAATTGAATCTCTAATTTTAAAATTTTCTTTATTAAATTTTACTTTAAATTTTGTGGCGATATTTTTTGCTGGGAACAAAAAAATCTCATTTTTCTCAAAAATGCTTTATTTTTCAATTCGGTTATAAGAGTGCTTTTTTATGTAAAAAACTCGGAGGAATTCAAAATTAAACTCGAAATTAAAATCCGTTCATTGGCGTAGAAGATACAGGCTAAAATAACAAAAATTATGGAAAATTAATAAGGAAATTAAAAAGTGTTTATATGAGCCCTCGTAACTTCTACGTCACTGGTACAATTTTTATTTTGAATATAAATTTGGATTCTTCAAAGATTTTTGTACAAAAAATCCAAATAAATTAAACCTCTCATTTTAAAATTTTTTTATTAAATTTTATGCCCATATTTTTTCTGGGAACTAAAAAGTTTCATTTTTCTCAAAAATGCTTTATTTTCCAAATCCGTTATAAGAGTGCTTTTTTATATAAAAAGTTCGGAGGAATTCAAAATTAAACTCGAAATTAAAATCCGTTCATTGGCGTAGAAGATACAGGCTAAAAATAACAGAAATAATGGAAAATTAATAAGGAAATTAAAAAGTGTTTATATCAGCCCTCGTAACTTCTACGTCACTGGAACAATTTTTATTTTGAATATAAATTTGGATTCTTTAAAGATTTTTGTACAAAAAATCCAAATAAATTGGATCTCTAATTTTAAATTTTTTTATTAAATTTTACTTTTAATTTTATTGCCATATTTTTTTCTGGGAACAAAAAAATCTCATTTTTCTCAAAAATGCTTTATTTTTCAATTCCGTTATAAGAGTGCTTTTTTATGTAAAAAGTTCGGAGGAATTCAAAATTAAACTCGAAATTAAAATCCGTTCATTGGCGTAGAAGATACAGGCTAAAATAACAAAAATTATGGAAAATTAATAAGGAAATTAAAAAGTGTTTATATGAGCCCTCGTAACTTCTACGTCACTGGAACAATTTTTATTTTGAATATAAATTTAGATTCTTCAAAGAATTTTCTACAAAAAATCTAAATAAATCACATCTCTAAATTCAACAAATTTTTACGAAATTTTACTTTTAATTTCATAAATGAGTCAAAAAATCTCGTTTTTCTCAAAAATTCTTTATTTTTCAATAAGGTAATAAGAATGCTTTTTTATGTAAAAAACTCTGAGAAATTCAAGTTTATTCTCGAAATTACAATTAGTTCATTGGTGTAGAAGTTAAAATGGTAATTCGGGTGGACATATTTAATACTGGTAAATAAAATGGCGCAGTTGGTTACCGAACGGTGTAACACCATTGGTAAACGGCACAAATTAAACATTTAAAGTACTTACACACCGGCCACGTGCCCCTCCATAAACATCACCGTATCGGAGCATGCAAGGAAAGCGCCATTTACATTAATTAAAGTGACATGTGTTTTTTTAATTGGACCGAAGTGCACGCCAAAGATTACTATCGTAACCGCGCTACTACAAACTTCAAAATGTAGTATATTAACTGATTTTTATCTCCACCTTTTACCTTTTACCCTTTCGTTGCGATAGGTCAAAATAAAAGTGACGACACCCCCTTTATACATCATAAATACTTCAACCGTAACATTTAAACTCTTCCACCATTTGGATGTTATTGCCCAAAATGTATCTAAATATCATTAAGTTAAAAGTTATTTTATCATTTTAAAATTGAACTAATCTCAAAACCAATCTGGATCTTTTAACTGATTGTCGATTCGGTTAAATGGGGAGTTTAACTTTAATCACGACTTCACGTTAGAACATCTGGTACTCTTTGCTGGAGGACAATAACGGGGCGGCGAGCGTCGCGACGCAAGAACGGGGGCGAACGTCTCTTTAATAGGGAAGGCCTCTCTCTGTTGAGTCGAATTACGCATTCAAAACCCCGTCGTTCACTCCGGCTCACTAATATGTATCGTGTTTTGATTTGAAAGGGGGATTGCGTTTCGTTGTACTACGGCCAAAGTGTACTGCGACAGCGGTTGTCGTCCATCGACCATTTGATGGATGGACCAAATAAAGTAAAAAGAATAAAATCGAATAATCCACCCATAATATATCAGGATTGATCGAAAATTTAATGGACACGTTGCAATATCAAATTTTATTTAAAAAAATACAAACGTTTGTGAATCAGTTCGCAACAATAAAATATATCAGACAATTTTGACAGAGGTATAAAAAAAATCGTATTAAAACGAGAATCACCCTCCTCGAAGAGAGACATCCCTGTTTTTCACAAACATCAACCAAACAGACTTCGTCATCCTGGTGTAACCTTTCACCATTCAAGCCTATAATCATATTTAGTGACGATTAGGGGTGGTGAAACGATGGGCAATCATCACCTTATACAGAGTCGAATTCCACTTAAAAACGTCGATAAAACTTTATTACTAGGTACAAAGATTCGTAGACGGAGTTTTTATTTACGAATCGTTTCGTCCTTATGCAACCGTCGTTTAAAGCGAAAAATCGTCCTCATCGACCGAACCAGGCCGCTGTAATTTAGTAATGAAAAGGCCGACTTGTAATTTTACACTACATTATGCGAAAGCCCCTAAAATGAGCTGGTCCCTTTGTCCGCGGAACCACCCTAAAAATACTCGAGTTTCAAACTCCCTTAATAGTTAAGTTTGCTCAATAAAAAACGTATTTAATGGACTCGGGTGACACCTGGAAACTCGATTTCTTATCGAAGAATTAAAAAGATTAAAAAAAAGTTAATGGAAATAAATAGGGTTTAAAAGCAATTTTCGAGCAATTTAAACAAGTAAGAGCAATTTGCGTTAGATACTTCTATGTGTTGCGTAATGGTTATACATTAGTTTAGTGGTGGTTGGTTGTGTACCTGTTCGGCGGTTTAATGATGTTATTAATCTCCGGGTGGAGGAGTTAACCCGCTTGCTATGTGCAAAAGCTATTTATTTTGGTTTACCCACACAAACCTTGAATCATAAATGTTCATAGTTTTACATCGAATCATGTCTAACTTAAGAAATATAACACTTAAATTATCT